GATAGTAAGGAAAGTACCCCATGCCTCATCTGGGTTGGATAGTAAGGAAAGTACCCCATGCCTCATCTGGATTGGATAGTAAGGAAAGTACCCCATGCCTCATCTGGATTGGATAGTAAGGAAAGTACTCCATGCCTCATCTGAATTGGATAGTAAGGAAAGTACCCCATGCCTCATCTGGATTGGATAGTAAGGAAAGTACCCCATGCCTCATCTGAATTGGATAGTAAGGAAAGTACCCCATGCCTCATCTGAATTGGATAGTAAGGAAAGTACTCCATGCCTCATCTGAATTGGATAGTAAGGAAAGTACCCCATGCCTCATCTGGATTGGATAGTAAGGAAAGTACCCCATGCCTCATCTGGGTTGGATAGTAAGGAAAGTACCCCATGCCTCATCTGGATTGGATAGTAAGGAAAGTACTCCATGCCTCATCTGAATTGGATAGTAAGGAAAGTACCCCATGCCTCATCTGGATTGGATAGTAAGGAAAGTACTCCATGCCTCATCTGAATTGGATAGTAAGGAAAGTACCCCATGCCTCATCTGGATTGGATAGTAAGGAAAGTACTCCATGCCTCATCTGAATTGGATAGTAAGGAAAGTACCCCATGCCTCATCTGAATTGGATAGTAAGGAAAGTACCCCATGCCTCATCTGGATTGGATAGTAAGGAAAGTACCCCATGCCTCATCTGGATTGGATAGTAAGGAAAGTACCCCATGCCTCATCTGGATTGGATAGTAAGGAAAGTACCCCATGCCTCATCTGGGTTGGATAGTAAGGAAAGTACCCCATGCCTCATCTGGATTGGATAGTAAGGAAAGTACCCCATGCCTCATCTGGGTTGGATAGTAAGGAAAGTACCCCATGCCTCATCTGAATTGGATAGTAAGGAAAGTACCCCATGCCTCATCTGAATTGGATAGTAAGGAAAGTACCCCATGCCTCATCTGGATTGGATAGTAAGGAAAGTACCCCATGCCTCATCTGGATTGGATAGTAAGGAAAGTACCCCATGCCTCATCTGGATTGGATAGTAAGGAAAGTACCCCATGCCTCATCTGGGTTGGATAGTAAGGAAAGTACCCCATGCCTCATCTGGATTGGATAGTAAGGAAAGTACCCCATGCCTCATCTGGGTTGGATAGTAAGGAAAGTACCCCATGCCTCATCTGGATTGGATAGTAAGGAAAGTACCCCATGCCTCATCTGGATTGGATAGTAAGGAAAGTACCCCATGCCTCATCTGGATTGGATAGTAAGGAAAGTACCCCATGCCTCATCTGGATTGGATAGTAAGGAAAGTACCCCATGCCTCATCTGGATTGGATAGTAAGGAAAGTACCCCATGCCTCATCTGGATTGGATAGTAAGGAAAGTACCCCATGCCTCAGCTGGATTGGATAGTAAGGAAAGTACCCCATGCCTCATCTGAATTGGATAGTAAGGAAAGTACCCCATGCCTCATCTGGGTTGGATAGTAAGGAAAGTACCCCATGCCTCATCTGGATTGGATAGTAAGGAAAGTACCCCATGCCTCATCTGGGTTGGATAGTAAGGAAAGTACCCCATGCCTCAGCTGGATTGGATAGTAAGGAAAGTACCCCATGCCTCATCTGAATTGGATAGTAAGGAAAGTACCCCATGCCTCATCTGGGTTGGATAGTAAGGAAAGTACCCCATGCCTCATCTGGATTGGATAGTAAGGAAAGTACCCCATGCCTCATCTGGGTTGGATAGTAAGGAAAGTACCCCATGCCTCATCTGGATTGGATAGTAAGGAAAATACCCCATGCCTCATCTGGGTTGGATAGTAAGGAAAGTACCCCATGCCTCATCTGGATTGGATAGTAAGGAAAGTACCCCATGCCTCATCTGGGTTGGATAGTAAGGAAAGTACCCCATGCCTCATCTGGATTGGATAGTAAGGAAAGTACCCCATGCCTCATCTGGATTGGATAGTAAGGAAAGTACCCCATGCCTCATCTGGGTTGGATAGTAAGGAAAGTACCCCATGCCTCATCTGGGTTGGATAGCTGGTACTTCTGACCATACTGAAATAGAAGGGTTAAAAGAGATTATAGTATAAACCACCCTGCATAATTTTCTAAAAAAAAATTCTAAAAACATAACTAACAACCACATTATCTTGATTGAGCTATAATTTCTCAGGCATGAGAAGCCGCCATATTCATGTGCCTATAATTAGAATTATTTGCTTAAACCACCAGTGCCTGAAATCTTTTGAAAACCATGACCACAATAACCACTCATGGTCAGTTTCAGCAAGCAGAGACCAATATGACCATTCCTGAAAGGCGGAAACCAGAAAGCTCTACCACGACTCTAATAACTGGACTTCTCTCTGTACAGTGCTTCCCCCTACAAGCCCAAGTCTTTCATTGTTCTTCATGCAGATGTCTTGCAATTAGCTGGTGCTTCTTATTAGTCTTTTTTTGGCTGTGGCGCTAAGTGGTGGAGTGCACGCTGAGTTTACATGAGGTTTGGGTTTAAACTCCATCACCACCAAAAAGGAAAAGCAAATGATTAGAAAGCAATAGTTAGAATCATCTGCCTTCATTTTAAATCAGGTTACTTGGATGTACATGTATGGCTTGGTGCTAGTCCAGTTTGCTTTTAATTGTTGTCATACATTGCTAGGACTTTGCTGGTTGGTTTTTGTCAACTTGACACAAACCTGTAGCTAGAGTTTTTCTGATCCTGCCCGCAGTCAGGACAAATCTCTCTCTCCCGCCAGTCCCGCAGCTGCTCAGACCAACCGAGTAAACACACAGAGACTTATATTTGCTTACAAACTGTATGGCCACAGCAGGCTTCTTGCTATCTAGTTCTTCTATCTTAAATTAACCCATTTTTATAAATCTATACTTTGTGCCACATGGCTCGTGGCTTACCGGCATCTTTACATGTTGCTTGTCATGTTGGCGGCTGGCAGTGTCTCTCGGCCTCAGCCTTCCTGTTCCCAGAATTCTCTTTTCTGCTTGTCCCACCTATACTTCCTCCTGTCTGGTTACTGGCCAATCAGTGTTTTATTTATTATCCAATCAGAGCAACACATTTGACATTCAGAACATCCCACAGCACAAACCTAGACCTATCTCAGAAGAAAGAATATTAACTGAGAAAATGCCTCCATAAGATTCACCTTTTGGTAAGTCTATAGGCTATTTTCTTGATTCATGCTTGATGTGGAAGTACCGCAGGTTCCTGCTTTGAGTTCCTACTCAAGCTTGCATTCATAATAGACTACAACTATAAGCTGAAATAAACCCTTTCTTTTCCAAGTTGCGCTTGGTTATGGTACTTGTCACAGAAATAAAAACCCTAAAACAATAACCAAAAGAAACTTGGGAAGTAAAGGATTGATTTGGCTTACAAGTCCCAGTCATGGTTCAATATCAAAGGAAGCCAGGGCAGGAACTCCAGTAGGAACCTGGAGACAGGAACTGAAGGAGAGGCCCTAGAGCAGTGGTTCTCAACCTTCTTAATGTTGGGACACTTTAATACAGCTCCTCATGTTGTGGTGACCCCTAACCATAAGATTATTTTGTTTCTAATTCTTAACTATAATTTAATACTGTTATGAGTCATAATGTAAATATTTTTGGAGATGCAGATTTGGCAAAACATGTCATCTCAAACATGTTGAGATCCACTGGCATAGAGGAGTGTTGTTTTCTTGCTTGATACCAGTGGCTTGCTCAGTCTGTTTTCTTATATTATCTGGAACCACCTGCCCAGGGGTAGCACTGCCAATAGTAAAATAGGCCCTCTCACATTGATCAACAATCAAGTAAATGACCACAGACCAGTCCGATAGAGGCCATTTTCCAATAGAGGTTTCCTCTTCCCAGGTGACCCTAATTGACAAGCCTATCCATAGTTCCAGACGTTCATTCTGAGTATTGGGACATGCTCTTTACAGAGAGAAGAGAAATGCTGTATAACAAATAAATCAGGCACTGTGTTCATTAGCTTTCTCATTGCTTTGATAAAATACCTGAAAAAAAAAAAAAGATTTGGTTGGGCTCACAGTTTCAAAGTTTCAGTCTAAAGTCAACCGGATCCATTTTAGGGTAACTTGAGGGAAAACAGAACTTGGTAAAGGAACATGTGCTATAGGAAACTTGCTCATGTTATGGTAGCCAAAAAAAAAGAGAGAGAGAGAGAGAGATAATAAGAAGAGACAAGAGCCAAAATGTATTCTTCAAAGGCATGCCCCAGCAACACAATTTTCCTACTAGTCTCACTCTTCACCACAACTGCCAGTGGTCTGTTTAAATTTTGAATCTATCCTTGGTTTAAACCATTCATTAGATGAGAGCCCTCATGATCTAAGGATTCTTGGAAACATTGCAGACATACCCAAAGGTATGCTCTACTAATCTCTTAGGCATTGCATTAGTTACTTTGTATTGTGACAAGACGCCGTGACCAAGGCCACTTAGAAAACAAAGAGTTTATTTCGGATTACGGTTCCAGAGAGCTAGAGTTCACGATGGGGGAGTGGAGGCATGAGAACTGGAATACCAGCTGAAAGCACACAGCTGAACTCTTAAGTAAAAAGCAGAGATAGCAATGGGAATGACAAATGGCATTGACATCTCAAAGCCCATCTCCAGTGACATCCATCTCCCAAGGCCATATGCCCTGCACTTCTCAAATAGCCCCAACAACAAGGAACCAAGTGTTCAGATGCTAGAGACGATGGGGTCATCTCATTGAAACCAACACATACATCTCTAAACACAAACAAGTTGATAATCAAACATACTAAATCCCCCAAAATCCTTATTTTATATTAAATTATGAAGTATAATACATTCCCTGAACTGCATAGTGATATGTAGTGTTATATACCGAGTGTCATAAATGAAAGTGAGAGTACTTCAAACCACTGCCAAGTTGTTGAAGCTTAGATCGAATGTTCATTGTACTATAATTCCTTATAAGAAGTTTGTCTCGTTTTTTTTTTTCTATTTGGAGCAATTATGTATCATTTTAGGTTTTGTTTACCACAGTAAATGTAATGAGTTTACCCAAAAAGATAATATGATTTAATCTTGGTAGCTAGAAGATCTTAATTTTAAATGGAGAAAGGTTAAGAAATCACTGTATATAATATTTTATCAAAATTATGAACTTATACACATAAGTTCCATACTGCAAATGAAGAAATAACTGCATAGGTGTCCAGATATGGTGGCTTTCAATGGTAACATATAACTAAAATTAAATCCCAGATACATTAATATTGAGAATTACTATAATACCTAGCAGATAGTCTCTTTGTATTTTTTGTTGTCATTAATTAATCTGTTTGCTTCCTACTCTGTCATCACTAAACTTGAAAAAAATTAACATCCAGACCATCACTCTCACAGCATTTGACTCTGATAGATCCATAGGAGAAGAAACTCCTTCAACAAAATGAGCTGTAATTGACAAAAGAAATAAGGTAGCCCATACATGGGCCTCACAAAAGCTTCAGAGTCAATGTGTCACTTAAGCTGAGTCACGCAGTACACCAACCAATGAAGGACCAAGTTTGAACAGCAAGTCCTTCTTGTATTCCTGGAAACGCCAGTAGTCTGCTAAAAGTAGAGGAGAAGAGGGGAGGGACAACGGTAGTGAGTGTGATCTCAGCTAACCTGACACACCTCTGCATGTGTCTGAGGGCATTTGCAGAAAGCTTTGGCTGAAGAGAAGAGACCCACACTGAACATGGGTCGCAGCGTCCGATAGACCAAGATCCTAGAAAGCAAGTGAAACACTAGTCAGGATTCCTTGCTCTCCGATTCTTGAATGAAGACGCAATGCGACCAGCCACCTGGCTCCTGCTTCTGTTTCTTCCCTGCCGTGGTGGGATGTCTTCTACAAAAACGAATGCTGAAATCCTTTGTGGCTAGGTAGTCAAGCATTCATTTTGTTACAACAATAAGAAAAGTTAAGTAACACTTCCACACTATAAAATAGTTTCTAAGTCATGTTAAATATTTTCTACTTTATCCAGTAGAAAATTATTAGAGTTTAGTGATTTAGAGATATGGTTGGATGCTTTCTACGCCAGATTTTAGGGAAGAGCTGAGGCACAACAGATGTTGGAAGCAGGAAGCCACTTTGGATTCTGTCTCAACGCTCTATTGGATGAATTCCAAGCTGAGAGGTGCTGAAAGAAACAAAGAAGAAAGTCCTGACTTGAAAAAACTTTTGAGAGAAAGAATTACAAAGAATTATACCAGTCATATGTGGGGGTGCTAACCCCAAAAAAACAGAAGGGATTTTTTTCTGAAATATTAAGTTTTTTAAAAAAAGAGGTATTTTTGTTGTGATCTACATTCACGTGTATGAATCCTAAAGCAAATCACAGTCATTGCTTTTCTAAGACCCCCACCTCCATGACCCACTAGGTCATCTCTAGTGCTCCAATTACAGAGATTTTTACTGAGAATGGATGATTACAATTACAGCCTGGAGAGAGAATAATAATCAAGAGTTAAATTAACCTTCAGGAATAAAAGTCCAGGTGGTGTTAGGAAAATCTGAGTCACATTTAGAAGCAAGCCATCTGACCCCAACAGGGTAAAAGAACTCTTAGGTAGGTGGCAATGTTGACAGATGTTAAGAAGAGCCTTGACCCAACCATGAAAAAAGGAACAGCTGGAGTCATCCGCCCATCATCTGATCAGCACATTGCAGAAATCACAGCAGGACAGAGTGAACTTCATGCAGGACATCTGATCAGTGACAGAGGACACCCCCAGACTCCCTCACACACTTTCGTGAATACTGTTTACTCTTTCAGTGATTTGTGTGCCCATTTTCTTCCAGCAGCCACCCTCTGGCACTATTATTTAACAGATGTGTGAAACTCAGCCTTAAACAGCTGAGCTTTCCCTTAAAGCCCTGATACTCTTATTTGAATAACTGCCTTGGAAGGTTCATGGAACCCATTTGGCCACAGGCCTCTCAGGAATTGGCAAGTACTAAGTAAGGATTTCTTGCCCCAGTAAAAAAAGCCTAGCACCTCGGGTCTCCATGTAATCTCCAAGTAAGATTCAATACCAGAGCTTCTCTGCAAATCCATGCTATTGTTCACATATGACTGACCAAGAAAATTGCCTCAAAATTTGCATCTAGAAAACCCAATCTAAGTCAGCTTTATTAGCAGCACTTTCAAACATTCCCCCGTATTGGTCCCTTTCTTTGTTATTATAATGAAACATCTAAAACAGGCTGCTTATTTTACTCACAGTTTGGAGATTCAAAAGAAGAGTACAAGCATCAGCTGGATTCGGGTGAGAACCTTGCAGCCAATGGTGTCACAATGACCAGAGCAGATGCTGAAGGGAGAAGTCACATGGGGAATAAAACCACAAGAAGCTGAATCCCACAACCTGTAACACGAATTCCTAAATGGTCTTATAATAAAAAAAATCCTGGAGCCAGATATTGGGGTAGATGCTGACAGATCAGAGAGACAAAGGAATCAGCCACAGCTACTCCTCACCTCGCCAACTCCACGAATCTTCTCACTGAATGTCTCTGAGTCCTCAGGCCTTATATACCTTTCTCTGCCCAGCCATTCCACCTCCTTCCTAGTACTGGGATTAAAGGCGTGTGTGCTTCCCAAATACTGGAAACAAAGGCATGAGATCTCAGGTGCTGGGATTAAAGGTGTGTGATTCCCAAGTACTGAGATTAAAGCACCTCCCACTTTCCCAATGAGTACCTAGCTTTCAACTCATGATCTCTGGGGTGGGGTTGGGGGGACACATTCAAACCAAACTGCAATCACAACAGCCCCTTTCCTTATTTTATAGTGACATAGAAAGTTCACAGACAACTCATTCGTGACACAGAAAAGGACAATGTTGGTTTTGAAGAGGCAACTTACAGAGTCTCTGTATTCCAAAATATCATGGCTGGGTTTTTGTTTATTTGTTTTACTGGGGAAATGCATACCCACAATTGTGTATGTCTGATTTTTTTTTTCAAGAAAACATCAGATAAGAGCTTTAGATGACCAAGAACATTAGTTGTCTTATTCACGTGGATCTCTCTTTTGCATTTCTGCTTCACACTTTTGTGACTACAGGCCATAAAGGGTTCCTGCTTTCTTACTACTTGTTCTCTGAATGACCTCCATGCTGTACTATCACTTCGTTCAGTTGGTATCAGCACTTTCAAAAACTGTACTTTGTCTCTTGGCTTAGAGGTGCTATCTTCACAGGTTCTGACCCAGTTCACTCTAAGATATGTGTCTACCAAGGATGATGTAGAGCTTTGCAGGGGCCTGTCTGAACTTGAAATGTACCAAGCTCTATGGCCAGCTACCACAGCAGTGAAGACAGCTATTAGCCTTAATGGAAGTTGTGGGTAACAGACCAAAGAAGCTCCCCGGGTCTAATCTCTACTTTCTGGGTCTGCTCAAGGTTACATCTGGTTTTGGTGCCAGGTTTGAGATTAGCATCAGGGTATCCAGACTCTCAATCTACTCTATTTAATATCCAACAAGATTTTTTTTCTCCCTCGATTCAAAGAGGCCCTTCAAGTTTCTGCCTGTGACACTGGTGGTTTTACCACTCCCTTTATGGGAAAGAGAGATGGAAACCTTCCAGGTGAGTCACGGTTTATCTTTTAATTTAGCAAATACCTAGAGTGGCAGAAGTTGAAAATGTCCATTTCATAGCATGCTGACCAGTGAATGACCTAATATGCAAATTCCCAGCAAGGAATGGAATATTAGAAGGCATACATACCTGAGATTGTAAAATGAAAACTGTTTATATAGCATTGCAGTTACCTAAGCAACAGAATTTTTGTGATTGTAAAAACAAGAACACTATATTGTTCTCTTTATGACTGAAATATCTCAAAAATAAATTAATAAGCATTAACTAACTTAAATAATTTTGTTATCTTTTTTATGGTGTTTTCCCTACAAGTATGTCTGTGTAAGGGTGTCAGATCCTCTGCATTGGAATTACAGATAGATGTGAGCTGCCATGTGGGTGCTGAGAATTGAACTTGGGTCTTCTGGAAGAGTAATCAGTGCTCTTAACCACTAAGCCATCTCTCCAGTCCCTTAAATATTTTTATTATTCCAAGTTCTAATAGTTTCTGGACTTTGAACAATCATTTTATTAATAACAAAGTTATTATACATAATAACAATCAAAATAAATTATACTTTTTATTCTTTAAGTAAATTTGATAGAAGGTAAAATCTTATATTTAAATTTTGGAGATTTTTAATTAATAGAATCAGGGTTCAGGAAAGAAAACAGCATATTACTAGTCATAGATTATTAGGAGAACATATTTGTAGAGCTCTGGAATTATTTTTTGAAAAGCTAAATATTAAAAGTAATAGATCGAGTAATGGCAGGAGTGATGGCTCATTAGATAAAGTACTTAGCATGTAAGTGTGCGTACCTAAGCTAAGGTCCCCAGAACAGACGTGAGAACAAATAAGGTAGTGGAAGTCTTTCAAGTCCTTTTATGGTGAGATGGGAAATGGAGACAGGAAGATCCTTAAAAGCCTGCAGGCCAGCATACATAACAGTGAACAAGGCACCCTGTCTCAAACAAGATACAAGGTAAGGAGTAACACCAGAGGAGGTTCTCTGTGTGCATGTGTTGGCATGTGCCCACCTGTACTCACATACACACACAAGAACACATGCACACATGTGTATACAAAAAGCCTGAGTAAAGCACATTGACCTCATCCCTGCAGGCAAGCATTACTTATTAGTTAAAACTATTTTGAGACTTCAACTTACCCCAGTCGAAATAGGTAAGACTAAGGAATGACTATAACAAAAGGCTGATCCTCCTCAAACAAAGGACCATTTATTCCTCCTGACAGCATACTCTAGAACATCAGTTTTCTTCTGATCTTTAGACTAGACAAAATATCAACTCTCTCTGGGTTTCAGTCTTACAGATTGTAGATGTCGAACATTGCCAGTTTCAATAATCATGAGGCAAATTCCTTATAATTCTTTTTGTGCACATATGTATGCACATATACACACATACATGCTGTTAGATGTATTTCTCTGAAGAATTATAATACAAGCACTTACTGTGTGCTGAGAATTATAAATTTCACGACAGAGCCACAAGAAATGTATTATCCTACCCATTTTAAGGATAAAAAAGTACAACCAAGGTAAGTTTTAATGATGTAGTTCAAGGACTATGTAAAAAAGGCTATGTCCAGGGTTCAAACACAAGCCTATATACTCTCAAAGCCTACATCCAACATTTACTCTCCTATCTCCCAAGACACTCACACTTTGGTAATGCAGTAGAGTGGTCAGAAGTGAAGCCTTTGTCAATACACCAGAAGCATGCTGAGCTCCAGACTTGTTCTTGGGCCTGACTGACTTATTTCTTGAATAGGACTGTGCTGAACAGAGACCACATCCCAGAATTCTGTATTCCTGATGAACCTTCAACAAAAAAACATATATAAGGTTACTGACCAGTTCTTGATCTGCACTTGCTCCTGGCTTTTCAGTGCCTCTGTTGAGGCAAGTCAAGGTTTCCATTTAGTAACCAGAAACTTTGCAAAGCACCTCCTTGGTGTGTGACATGGTGCACGGACATGTTTCCATACACTAGATCTCAATGGGCTTGACGGTACACAGATATTTAGGGTAAGTTACAGATACAATGGGGGAGGAAAGATGACAGCTTGTATGCAGAGGTCTCATTCTGAAGAACTGTCTTTGAAGTCAAGGAGGTGGATGTCTGCATCAGAGATGGAGTGGGGAACAGAGCTGAGAATGATGCTCGCGTGTCGTTCCCCAGTTCTCTCAACTTGGCTATTTTTAAGTCAAATGACTTGAAATAGGTCAAGTATTCTTGTTTTAATTAAGAATAATGACCATAGACACTGAGAAGTTTGGGGGGGGTTGTTTGCTTGTTTGCTTGCTTGCTCATTTGAGGGGTTTTTGTTGTTTTGTTTTAACTAAGCCAAGTTTTCAGCTCTTTAAATACAATCAAATGCATCTGGAAGCTTTTGTTCAATCACAAAACATTTTTCATCATCATAATGGACAGTCCAATTTTTCCTTTGTTTAGATTTTTAATACATACATATGCATACATGTTCGGCATGTGCATATCCTTGTGAGATAATGTAGGCACCGTGCACATTTGTGATTGTTATGTACATATGTCATGTGTGGAAATGTGTGTCTCAATGTACTTTGAATGGAAAGTTCTGTGTAGTTTGCAGGTAAATGCCATACCTGTGTTTCTATTTCAAGAGTATACATATAGAACAACAATAAATCATAATAATTATTTTGCATCATAACATTTTTATAGGATGCTGGAGAGTTAAGGACACTGATTATTCTCATCCAGAGAACCCAGTTCAACTCTCAGCACTCACATGATGGCCCATAAACATCTGTAACTCCAGTTCTAGGGGACCCAATGCCTTCTTTGGCCTATGTGGGTACCAGGCAATCACATGGTGCACAGATATACATGCAGGCAAAACACCCATACATGTAAATTTTAATTTTATAAAAGAAAAATCTATAATATATGGGACAAAGAAATTTAAATATTGGCCTATTAGTGATTGTTTTGAAGTACACTAAATTATATTTGAACCAGTTGTTAAGGCAAAGTATTTTTTTAAGTCATTTTTTTTTTTTTATCCCGGCCACAGTTTCCCCTCCCTCCTCTCCTCCCAGTCCCTCCCCCATTCCCCTTCTGCCCACCCATCCACTCCTCCTCCTTTTCTATTTAGAAAGGGCAGCCTCCCACAATGGTCACATACATGTAGAGGGCCTAGGTCAGTCCCATTCTGGCTCCCTGGTTGTCGGTTCAGACTCTATGAGCTCCTATGAGCCCAGGTTAGTGATTCTGTCGGTTCTCTTGTGATTGACCAGGACTTCTTTTTTTTTTATTTCATTTTTTATCTAAGAATTTTTTTATTCATTTTACATACCAACCACAGATCCTCCTCTTATCCCTCTTCCCGCTCCCCCCACCAGCCTTCCCCCCACATACCCCCTATCCCCTCCTCTGAAAGGTTAAGGCCTCCTATGAGGAGTCAGCAAAGCCTTTGACTAGAACTTCTTCAATTTTTTTTATTTTATTACTTTATGCATACTCTCTCTCTCTCTCTCTCTCTCTCTCTCTCTCTCTCTCTCTCTCTCTTACTCGTGTGTGTGTGTGTGTGTGTGTGTGTGTGTATGTGTGTGTGTGTGTGTCCATGTGGTACATGCTCACACACACACACACACACACACACACACACACACACATCATGCACACATGCATACAGTACCAATGAAGGCAAGAAGTGCATGTTCACTCCACTGCAGCTGGAATTACAGATGATCATAAGCAACCCAAGGTGGGAGCTAGGAATTGAACTCCAGTCTTCTGGAAGAGCAGCAAGTGCTCTTAACCACTGAGCCCTCTCTCCAGCACCATCACTAGGACTTTAAATGACAGAAAAGACAATGGAGAGGGTTTAAAAGGCAATAGTGATGTGCTATAAGTGGAGACTTAGACAAGGAAAAATATGGCATACCATAGAACTGTGAGAAAGCTGTCCTGTAGAATTCACCGTCTTGCAAAACACGCAGCAATGACTAGAGAGATACTGGGGGTTATTCACAGTAGACTGGAGGTTGAGGTTTAAGCTTTCTATGTGAAAGAGAAAATTAGCTTAACACTACTGAGAATATAAAGTGGTGCAGCCACCATAGAAATCAGTATAAAAATTATTTTTTAAAAAAAGCCAGTAGAGTTACAATCACCATCTGACCCAGCTATAATACTCCAGGACATATCCACAAAGGACTCTATTCTACCACAGAGATACAGTCATGTTCATTGCTGCTATGTTGACAATAGCAAAGAAATGGGATAAATCTAAATGTTCAACAGTCAATAAATGGATTTTCAAAGGTGGTTTGTATGCACAGTTAAATTTTAGTCAGCTACAAAGAAAAATAAAATTATGACATTTGCAGGAAAATGGATATTATTACGGAAATTATTATGTTAAGTGAGGTAACAGACTCACAAAGACAAAATCCCCACATTTTCTCTCATTTTCATAAAACTAGAAAGTGGAATAAGGAATATTAAGAGAAGGGAAGATGTGGGGGGAGAAATAGAGAGAGAGAATACTACAGGGGGAAATGGGGCTATCAGGACAGGGGAGGAGGATACGGGACATGTGTGTATGAAAATACCACCGTGAAACCGATTACTTTGTATGCTAATTTTTTTAAACTACAAAAAAGAAAAAAAGACCATGAGCACTTTTTTCAAGAACAATATTGTAAGAAATGTGTTTTAGGAACATTAGTGTCATTTTCATAAGTAGAAAAGAGATGAGCCAGGCTTCCTGACATCCAAAACTTCACAGGATGCATGGAGACATTGGGCTCTGCTCATCCTTATTCAGCCAGCAGGCTTGGACATGGGAAGAAAAGTGAGGGCTGCTGATACCATCCACAAATCCATGACAGAATGAAAATTTTAATACTATAAATATAGAAAGAGAAGAAGAGATACTACAAGCACTGAAAGGTAGATTAGTGTGGTTTTTATGTAAGAGATATGAGGGAAATCACTAGGATATTACCAATTTGCCTTCTACCTGAGTGTTTTCACACATAACAGTTTTGACCTAATTTGCTCCATGTTTCCAATTCCACATAGCTAAACATTTGCTGATGCGGTAAACAGAACTGAATAACAGATCTGTAGCACCAGGCGACTGAAGAACAGGTAAGCTCAGTTATAGACAGGCCATATTTGAACAGAAGACTGAGTATTCAAATGCAAATACATAGAACTCAGCTGCACATACCTATGGAGACGCTGAAGGAAAAGGAAGATCTGGGTCAATATATAAGCTGGCAGTATTTTGTAGCAGTGTTCATCTTCCAGTTATTAAAAAAATCACTGTAGGGTACATATCAATTGCATTTGATAATTTTCATCAAAGTCTTTATTTTTACCCTTGTCCAAATAAACTAAAAGCTCCTATTTGCTTCAAAGTTGTATTTTTGAAAAATAGAAAGAAAAAAATAGAATTCGAAATGTAAGCAATGTCTCCTAATCTAAGGCAAAGCACTCTTCCACTGATGAAGCTGATGACTAGTGTCAACATTTTTACTGTAAAACATCATAATAAAACTGAATTCTGCTTAGAGAGGATGGCAGCTTGGCTTTCCTCCAGAGATCAAGAGCACTGCAGTGTCTTCTTCAATGGTGAGAGTTTTTCAGAAGATCCAACACTCTAATGATTGTTTCTTTTACCTATTGGAAGGCCCCACTAAAGGTAACCAAGAGGAATGGCAACAACCTGTAATGTTTGGGGTGGATGGAGTCTATCAGAGACCCTATTGCTGAAGTCACCACGAATTTCAAATCAGAACATGGAAAAATCAAGCTGGTAATGATCTGGAAGCTTCATCCCTACTGGCCAGTTTTCATAGTGCTAGAAATTACAATGTATGCTACTAGAGTAGAAAAGCAGTCACTAATCATACCTGTATGTGAACCCCACAAACTACAACAATGACTGGCCTGGCAAGACATATCCACTATTGTGATAGTGGCACAAACATCATGAGAGCAACCAACCACTTTCTAGCTGGATTTAAGTACTGCTTCACAAGATGAAACCCATGCCTATCACCATTATTGGACCAAGATAATGTGGCTAGATAGATCATAGAATATAGTATAGAAATTACCACTTTTTTTTTCCAAATGGATATAGTCCTAAACCAACTCCTAATAGCTTGTCTATATCCATAGGTCAATGCATCTTTCAACCCTAATCCTAGAAGCTTGTATTTGCAGGCAAATAGTAATTAACACAAAGACCCACAAACTAGCCAAGATGCAGATGATATGAGGGTGAAGACTGTCCAGCCCTAAAAGGAGCATAGATACTGTTCCTTTTAGAAACAACACCTCCCTCTAAGGCCCATGAACCTTTGTGAGAGAGGAGGCTGGAAAATAAGAGCCAGAGAACACAGATGACTACAAAAAAACACTGTCTTCTGGGAACAGTAGGGCAAATGAATAGATAAACCCACAGTGATTGTGACAGCATGCATGTTACCTGTGAAAGCCCAAGCCAGATCAAATCCTGCCGTGGAGAAGGAAGTGGGACACACAATCCGTACCTATCCATGGAGCTACTGACAATGTTTAGCTGAAAAGGAGAGAGGCAGTTTTAGCTAAGAGTGTAACCTTTAGTTATGTCAACCACATTCCCATGAGACCACACACGCAAGAATATTGGGGCAGCACAAATTGAATTTGGAGGCTTTAAAAAGGTGTGGGGTTCACACAGTTGGGTGAGAAGAGACAGAAGTAGGTCTAGGAAGAATTGAGGAAGAGGAGATAACTATAACCCAGACACCTTGTGCAAAAATGCTCAAAGAGCAAATAAAATATGTGGCTGGAGTTTTCTCTCCAGGTCCCACCAAGCCCCCGCAGTCTGACAGCCCACTTATAAAATAAACACACAGGCGCTTATATTATTTACAAACTGTATGGCCATGGCAGGCTTCTTGCTAACTGTTCTTCTATCTTAAATTAACCCATTTCTATTAGTCTATAAGTTGCCACGTGGCTCGTGGCTTACATCTCGCTTGTCATGGCGGTGGCTGGCAGCGTCTCCCCCTCAGCCTTCCACTTCCCCAAATTCTCCTCTCTGCTTGTCCTGCCTATACTTCCTGCCAGGCTACTGGCCAATCAGTGTTTTATTTATTAACCAATCAGAGCAACACATTTAACATACAGAACATCCCACAGCAAAAATATTCTAAAGGCCCCATTGAGCCAGTAGTTGATGGTGGAAAAAAGGTCTCTCTCTCTCTCTCTCTCTCTCTCTCTCTCTCTCTCTCTCTCTCTCTCTCTCTCTCTCTCTCCCCTTCCCTCTCTCTCTCTCTCTCTCTCCTTCCCTCTCTCTCTCTCTCTCTCTCCTTCCCTCTCTCTCTCCCTCTCTCTTTTCCCCCTTTCCTCTCACATCAGGACTGAATCCAGAATTATATGAGTATATATACATATATATATGTGTGTGTGTGTGTGTGTGTGTGTGTGTGTGTGTGTGTGTGTGTGTGTCAGATAATTATCTCAGAAAAGATGAGTCACACACTGGTTACAAAATTTGAAACATTTAAGTGCTGTTGTTACTTATGTATATAAGTATACTAAACATATTTTATTTATAACTTGATTTTTTTTAATTTCCACTATGGTCCTTTTATACTTTTTTTTAACTTTTGGCTAAGGAGAATTATTTTGGTTAAGATTGTTACTTATAATTCATTTTACTGGTTTTCACATCCAGGGGAAAAAATATTGAAATGTGTCCATCACACATTTCATAATTTAACAAAACCTCAAAATAAAAGTTTTCCAGAAGTTTTCAGAACAAAAAAATATAATCGAATCGCTTAAAGCAAAGCCAAGATTTCCACTGGAATCATCGCCATTTTCTTGGGCTGTCAGGCTATTAAGAAAAACATGATAGGCAATTTGTAAAACTAAACGACATGTTTTTCAGAAGAAAAAGTCCATGTATAAATTAGATTACAGTGATATTTCGCTAACATACAATCCCCTAGGACTCAGGACTTAATAGATGCCATCTGATTTAAGACCCATCCAAGGAGTGTGTTCTCCAAAGTAGCATCAGTGACTCCACGAAGCATGTGGTACAGCCTCACCTAGAGAGACACTCAGAAGTCTCACGGACTCCGTAAAGCAGCTTTGAGTTTCAAACATATTGCAGGACTATAAGAGATGATCAGAGGTCTTGTAAGCATTACTTTTTCAGTGAGGTCTCCTCCCACCACACATGGGACTCCGTAATCCTTTCCTAACTTTTGGGAGTCTCTTCAAACTCATGTCTGAGAGCATCCTTCCTGTGTGCAAGGACAAAACTACTCAGATGTAGATTGCCCAGGGTGGCCAGCTTTCAGGGAACTACCCTCTCCTTCCTCATTTAAAACCGACTTAGTTCTTACCCAAAGTGATTTCATTCTGGGGGCTTTTAGAAAGATGTGTATGTGTTTCATGACCCAAAATGGAGACCCTACAGAGATGCAGGGAGGAAAGAGGGTGAAAAAGTATTAATACAATCATATCTCTCTCCTCCTCCCCCCCCTACTCTCTACATTAACCTCCCCCATTTTTCTTTCTTCTATCTCTCTGTGAACTCCTTCTGTGACAATGAGAAGCATGAACATGCCCCCACCGTCAGCAGCAGCACCAACAAGAGTTCAGAAAAACAGGAGCAGATTAGGGACTAAACGTATAGTAAAGTCTTGCCAAAAAAAAACAGTGATGTAAGAACTTTTATTTTCCCTGTCGCTATTCCAAAAGCAAAAGCAATGATACATTTTGAAAGACTTTTTAAAGATTGTTTTAATTGCTTGCACCTGTGGTGGGGTATGTGCAGAAGAGTATCAGTATCCATGGAGGCCCAGACTAGATGCCTAGAGCTGGAGCAACAGGAAATTATGAACTGCCAGGCATGAGCACTGAGAACAGAGCTTGATCCTCTGGAAGAGCAGTACACATGAGCCATCTTTCCAGGCCTGTACACTGTCTGGCTTTGTGTTTAAATTTTGTTCTGGAACATATAGAATAAAATTCTTGGACT